ATTAAAAAAAGGAGGGTTTTAGTTGTTTGTTGTAAAATTAAATTTCACTAAAAACACGTAAATTGCAAGTGAAAAAGATAGAGTTCATGCAAATCAAGTGAGATGAGATGGTTGACATTTGAAATTCTTTTAGTAAGTTATCATTAGAAGTCATTGTACAATACTTGTGACTTAATCTAACTTGGTCATAGCAACTTAAGAGCTTAAGTTATCTATATTCTTTTTAATTGAAATGATGGTTAGAGAAGTTCTTAACACACCTTCGTAATCACTATAATGAACCAAATAAGTATCTAATTCATTAAAGTTGATTAGCATTTAAATTAAAGAATCAACAAAACCAAAAGAGCATAAGGCTTTCACTATCATGTTGAATGATGCATTTAAATGGTTTAAAATGAAATGAATACATACATTAAAACCGTTTGTTGCTAGTTAATTTGAAGATCTATTATTTAATTAAGAAATTAAACAACTAATTATCATTCATACATTTAAACTCATGATTAAAAACATGTAAAAGAAATAAAAGTTCAAATAGGAGATGAATATAGATTAACTAGTATTATACCCGTGCGACAGTTGGGTTGACCGATGTAAAAAAAATATTGATTTTTTATAGCATCAAACTTTCATTTGTTTCCATTATAGCTTTAAACTACGACAGGTCTATTGATATTGCTATATTTATACATATATTTAGGCAATATTTTAATATATTTTAAGCTATAATTTGGTAAAATGTAAAGATATTTGGTACTTATTAAGTAAATTTATATTTTGCAGCCAAAAATGACGTTCTTGAAGAAAATGACTGAAAACAACAAAAGTTGGATACTTGGAGGACTGGAGCTAGAACTAGGAGCTTAAAGGAGAAAAATAATGCAAAAATGACTCTCACGACGTGGTGTTTTGAAGTGCACGGTGTGGCATTAAGAAAGATCTCGATTCTATATGTGTAAGAGAAGCTCACGACATGACAATTATGTCTTCACGTTGTGACAAGTGTCCCAGAAGATTCCTATATGCGGAGAAGTAAGTTCCTTGGCAAATACGGATTTGTACTCAGTTCACGTCGTGAGGAGCGTTTTATGGAAAATATATGTATTGATTGTTACATCGACTTGGGAACGATTGGAGAGGTATTATGGAGATTTTAGTTGACTTTTGGGACAGAAAGCTACAAAAATTAACCCTTAGAAGGAGAAGAAGATTGGAGATTAAGAGTCTTGAAGATTTTAGCAAGAATTCACACAACACATTCAGTTTGCATTAGATTGATCATGTCTAGGTTAAATTCTTATGTTTTTATGTGTTTATTTTCTGTAGTGATGAGCTAAATGATTAGGCTTTTGTTTAGTGTAGATGAACCCTAATACTATGTGTTAGTTTCTACTTTTTCATGGATTTTATGAAGTTGGTTTAGCTTGTGTTTGATTTAACATTACCTAGCATGTTAAAAGTTTTAATCTTTGTTGTTTAGATTCAAATTAAGTGTAGTTGAATGATCATTTTAATTGCATGAATTTGTTTACCTAGTTGTTTATGATCATTAATTTGCTAGAGCTAGGATTAGCCAAATCCTATATTATGTAATAAAGGTAACAACTTTAACTGTGTTAGAGAACATAATATAATCATAATTGTGTTTGGTTATTTGTCTTGATCATTGATAATTAATTTTAGATATATCTTAAATAGCCCAATAATCTTAAATAATCAATTATGTGTCACATGTGTATGATCATTGCATAGTTGTTCATGAATTGGTAAAAACAATAGGAGATCGGGTCATGACTCTTAATAATATTTATATTGGTAACCAACTGAATTAATCCATGTATTGAAACTACTCATAGGAAAAAGGGGGATTCAAAGCTAAACGAAAGTGTCTTCATTATCTTGATAACAATTGTCTTTAGTTAGTTGTTTGCTTAGATTTGAGTTAATTAAGTAGTTAAGTTAATCTAAACTTGCAAAATCAGATAAAAACCACATTTTAGTTATTGTTTTAGATTACATTTTAGTAGAAATTTTATTAGCTAAATACCGTTCCTTGAGTTCGATATCCGACTTACTTTTCTATACTATAAACTGACTAGGTACATTGTCTACAAGTGCATTAGTAGATAAGTTTAGTTAGGTTTATAAATTTAAATCTGGTAGGTAATTCTTTGCACGTCTAGTTTTTGGCGCCGTTAACGGGGAATGACTTATTTCAGTTGTTAATTTAATTACTTTAGGTTAATCGATCATTTTTGTGGTGTAAAAAATGCAAAAAAAAAGTTAATCTTCTGCATTAAGTTAATTTTTATGATTTTTACAGTGTTCACGTCTTGAGCAGGTCTCTCTCACGACGTGAGAACCGGCATGTTTCAGTTTTTCGTTTATTTACTTTCTAGTTCTTTTTTACGTTTTTGTTTTGTTTTGTTTTAGTAATTTATGACTAAGGGATCACAGCTTCCTATCGTGCCACCACCAACACCTGAAGACCCAACTGATGCAGTATATGTTGTTTCTGATCTTTTAGGAAGCATGGTAGGACATTCCTTGATAATATGGCTATCCTTTTTGCAATAGTTGCAGAATTTCTTTGGATAATTTGAAGCGTGATTTTCAAATTCTTTGCAACAAAAACATTGAACTGTACGCATATCCCTACCTCTTGGCTTACCTTGAGTTGCATAAGCCATAAGAACCGTCATGGATCTTTGTTTGTCTAAGTTATTTTGAGTGAGAAGACGTCCTTCTCGGAATAAATCATTGAGGCATGCATCCAAAGAAGGAATCGGGTCTCGATTCATAAGATTAGATCTAGTGAATTCAAAATCGGATCGAAGCTTCATAAGGAATTGATCTCTTTTAGTAGTTTCATGGACAACTTGAACAAAACTAAGACCTTCTGGAGGTAAAGTGGCATAAACGATATTTGTATATTCAGCCCAAAGATTCATGAAGCAAGAGTAAAAGTCAGAGATAGAAAGACTATCCTGTTGAAGGGAAGCTAACTCATGTTCCAATTGAAATCTTCGAGCGGTGTTGTTCTGACTATAGAGTTTCTTCAAGTGTTCCCATATATGGGTTGCAGTCTTGAAAGGGCGAAGATTTAACACGATATTGGATTCAACAGAACTAATAATCCATGCCATGATTTGGGCATGCTTGACCTCCCATTTGGCCTGTTCAGTCTTGTTTTTGTCTTTGTCAAGAGTTGGAACTTATTCAGTCTTGTTTCTGTCTTTGTCAAGAGTTGGAACTGGAGTGCTGCCATCAATATGGCCCCATAAGTCCTTCCCTGTGACGAAAATTTGGAAATGAAATGACCATGCTGAGTAATTCTTCCCATTGAAGCGAACCAAGAAAGCATCACATTTTTTTGAGGACATGGTAGACATGAAGCTACAAGAACTCTATCAAGAATAACTAAGAGCAAGATATTAAACTGGGATCAAGAGAAAAGAAAGACTAGACACTGATCATAATTGTGGCTCTGATACCATGACAATTTAGAGATTTGTTTTTAAGAAAAAGTTGTGTTTTCTCATTCAGAAGAATCCTCAATATATATTGAATATACAAGCTAATTATCAGTCTAAATTACAGATTTCTAGCCTATAAATCAGCTTACTAAATTATCTACAATCTAATTATTGACAATAAATGATTGTGATAACAAATATATTTTGCTGATTAATCTAAAGCATAAAATCATCAAGAAATCTGCAGAAATATCTTTGACAAATTTGTTGCAACCTCATTTGCATTTTCCTGATTGATTCCATCATACGTTACTCCGTCCATGTTGCTCTTCTGTGGACTCATGAACTCAATTAGAGTTAGGTCAACACCATTGACATGCTTGACATGACAGAACAATTGTCTTCAATGTCATTTTCCTTACTTACTCTATCATAGAACTAATGTCATACCAAACACAGCAAGGGCAAAAGATTTTAAGCAGCACCAAAACTACTCAACATTGAAACCCAATAAGCGATCAACATACCCCATTAAGAGATCTAAAATCTGGATCTAAATCCACTTTGCCATGTATGCAGGGAAAACAACAATGAACTTTTTGGGGAATAGTTGAATAAAGGACAAAGAAGAATCAAAATAATTTCAACAAAATCACATATAAGTATCAGAAGTTGTTTTTCCTTTTTCTAATTACACTTCAATGCTTTCGTCAACTTACTTACAGTTAAAAAAAAAAAATTCGAATATTGGGTTTATATCGTACACATAAGTGCAAAACTAACTGAAGGTCATAATAAATACTTCACAATTAAAAAAACCGTCTGCCGTTCCAATCCGGATAGTAGGAGCATTTTCAAGAACCGGCGCGGTCATAGTCAATTCTGGTTTAGTGCGGTCTAGGCTAGGCTAGGTTACGGTTTTTTCCGGTCTGGTCCGGTTCCACCGAGTAATGTGATCATCCTTACTCATAACAATGCATAAAACTAAATATATCGAAATCAAATTGATCGCCCAAAAAGCTTCACAATCTCATAAACCTGCAAACGGTTTTTACTGTGTGTGTATTACAACTGACTTGATGCATACAGGTTTATCATTGTCATTTGCATTAAAAGCTTCTTCTTCATCATAACCTTCTTGTTTTATCTAATACACCTTTTAAGATGAAATATTATGTGTAATCTCCAAAATATGTGTGCTAAAAGCCACAACATTATGACAAATTATTTTCATGCAAAAAAAAAAAACAACAATCATGTACTTTCCCTTATTTATAAATTATGTAATCCTGATGTCATTTGTTTCTTTTAAATAAGTATGTATCCAATAGTGATAGGTGATAGGGTAGTAAATCTCAAAAACTCATACAAGTAATAAAAGTATTTATTCTTTTCTTATGGTTGCAATGTACTTTGAAATAAGTAAAATTTTCAAAGTACAATGCTAATTAGAATAAATAAAAAATTGATGTTAAAATAAACAAATTAACAGAATTACAATACTATAATTAGAAGATATTACCCGTACTTTAATTTATTTGTTTATTATAGCTCACACACACTTTAATTATCCAAAAAGCATAGGACAGAAAGAAAAAACATGTGTCATAAATGAAGTTGCACTAGGAAGGCAAGATCAAGTTTTTTTTTTTTTTTTCCTTTGAAAATGACCATTTTGCCCTTGGAAAGTTAAAAAAAAAATAAATAAAAAATAAACCACATGAAATTATATAAATTAGAAGTGAATTCTAAATAGAGCCCTTGTGTTCTTTAGCTCTTCATAGCAGAAACCTGTATGTTTATACCTATAAAACCACACAAATTGATGAAATTGATTTAGCAAGCTAACCACAAAAATTTTAAATGATCATTACCTGATCATACACATACACATTCCATTGAATCCCTTGATCATACATATACACAACATTCTAAATGGTATATTTTTCCATTGAGCCCCTTCCAAAATCACATACATACCTTTAATATTGTTTGTTCTTGCAGGGTGGGTATGTGATAGGATAGGCCCAAGGACGTATTTGTCTACAAAAGGGGAAGGAACAAAACAAACCACATCTTAGTCCTCTTCTGCAGGCCAGGCCTATTTAGTATTTCATTTTGTTTTTTGTTTTATGCTCCTTCCCCCACGATTTTATCTTTCTAGTTGGGGGGGGGGGGGGGGGGGGGGGGAGCAGGGTCTGTGGTTTATTCTGTTTGTCTTATATATAGTCCTGGAGGGTCTTTTGTTATTTTTCATTTCATGTTGAAATTAATGAAACACTTGTTATGAACTTGGTAGAGTACCCACCTCTAGAATTGTGGGAATCCATCCTTTACGTTTGAGTTTTCTGTGTGATTTACAAGTCTAAGCTATCACTATCAGTATGTTGCAGCATGACCTTCAAACATTGTGCTTCCCTCTGTCATCCTGTAGTAGGATGTAACGAAAAAGCAACTTAAATTCAAAGCAAAATGACTATTTTTTCCCATATTCATTTCTATAAAAGACCCAAGAAAAATCCTAATCTCTTTATAATAAACTTTAAAAAGAAACCAAAAAAACTATAACTAAGAAAATCAAGATCCAAATCAAAACAAACCAACGAATTCACCAGTTTTATTTAAGTGAATTCATGATCATGCCAGTGATGGGTATTTCTTCTCCAAATTTCAAGCTTTGTGCATTATTAAAATAATAGATAAAGGTAAATTTTTGGGTTTCATTTAAATCGGATCTTGCCTTTATAAAATTTGTGAAATGTTGCTTACTTGCGAGAACCACCAATCACGAGTCCACTTGGTTAAAATATATTACCTTCCAATGTCACACTAACTTGGCGATTAAATGCAACATGTGAAGATGAAAGTTAATTTGGATTAAAAAAAAATTGTTACGAAAAATGAGAAAAAGGAAAAGGGTATCTTCCAATAATATCACAAAGAAAAGTTGCACCAAACAGTATGGAGTATCTTCCAATAATATCACAAAGAAAAAACCATAAAACAGAAAACCTCAAATTTAATAAGAGCATGGAACTAACTAAAAGGTTTAATTGAGCACCGCCACCTCCACGACTAAAGCTAGGTCTCCCACCATCACCCTACAAATTCAGTTCATAACAAATCAATCACAACCTTCAAATAAATGACTACTTATCTTTTTGTTACAAATGTAGATCAATAATCCAAACTTTCCATGCAAGCAATCAATATTTGTCAGCTTGAAATGAATAGACATAAAGAATGTTTGAAACTTGTTGCCCTTGCAGCCAGCAACCATGGCCATTCCCTGTTAAATTATAAAAAAAGGTTAGAAATGTAAACTCTTACAAGGAAAATAAAATGATTAAACACCGATTTAGTATTTAGTATTTACCTTTGCAAAATTTCCAAGTCCAGCCATTTCAAGAAACAGTGGTGGACATAATGGGGAAAGAACTTCCAAACCAGAGCCAAAGTCATATAACATATCAGCTACAAATCAAAAGGTCCATCAATCCATATTAAACTGAATTTTAATGATACTTTAATACAAATTGAAAAGGTTCAAAGTTCAAACCAAAAATTCGCCATCGTTTGGGTTCAGAATCAATTTTTGCACCTAACTTGCTGCACATTAGCTTTCCCACATGCTGCATTCCATCCTTAAGTGTATCTGTTCAACACCAATAGAATCAATTAATTTTTTTTCCTGAAGCAATTATGGTTCATATGCGTTAAATTGCTGCATATTGTCATTTGTTAAAAGGTGTTTCTAACCCAACTGGTTGCGGTTGCTTGTGCTGGTGTAGGTCTTAATCCTGCAGCATATAACAGTGACTGCAAAGGAGTAAGATCAATCAATGAACCCTAATTTGAACTTGTGATGATTCTAATTTCTAAGTGTCAGAAGAAGACCTGAGTTGATAAGACAGATAATGCTGCACTGGAGAAGTGTTGTAATGCTCGAAATTGTGTGTATCTAAGATACCCTTCATTCACACTGCATTAGGTTTTAGTTTCATGAGAAATGACACTTTGATTAACAGTTTGTTGAGAGAAAGAGAACTCGATATGAAATTGTGCCTTATGAACTTGCCTATGTGGATAACCTGAAGGGAGAAAAGTATCGACAAGAGACTCGGATATTTTGTGGATAACTGGTCTTGAATCATTCAGCACCTTCACCTAAAGAAGAAAGACCCAACTGATTCAGTTATGGAATTCAAGAAACACCCAACTGTGCTAGATGGTAGGAGGAAGTTGTTCATGATTTAGTTGACCTTAGAAAATGATTCAGGCTCTTCTTCACCATTTAAGACCTGCTTCATCAATGTTTTTGGCACAAAAAAAATGCCAATCGCAAAATCAGAAGTGATTTCATTCTAGGCAAATGTATGAACAATTCTAAAGAAGAAAGCAATGTCGGGCGAAAGAAAAAGTGGAGAGAGTTGAAGACTAACCAGACATGTACTTTTTCGGTGGGATCATAGGCAGTTTCTTGTTCATCGGAAACGAGTAAGGGCTGATGTTAGTCGGAAAGCATATTCTTTAATCTTCAACTTGATCATCTTTCTCATCTGGTAGTGGTTGCCTGAGTATAAGTTATGCGTGGAATACAATGAAATCAAACTCTTTTAGAGTAAGCAAAACCCACAATAAGGATTCGGGGAAGAAGGCAACGGCAATAGAAACCTACAACAATAAATGAAATCAAATCAGGAGTATGAGAAGTCGAAGGGAAAGAAAAAAAAAAGTATGAACGGCAGGCCCGGCCCAATAGGGTGACGGCCCCGGGCCTCAATACAGTTTGGGGCCCTAAAATTAATTATGTTATATATATATATATATATATATATATATATATATATATATATATATATATATATATATATATATACCTTTTGTTAATATAGTTATTAAAATTGCAGTAGTTTAATTGGTTATGGTACATTCTTTTAAGCGCAGTTTGTATTATTTTTTTCTTATTGTAATCATACTATTTGAATTTTAATTAGATGTCGATGTGCTAACTTGGTGAATTGGAATCCAAATTACAAAAATGGTCTTTATATTCTTTTTCATTATACATAAATCATCATAATTATATAAATATTATTTTTTTAATCTTTTGGATTTTTGACAAACCACCCAAACACTTATTTCATTTAAAACTTTAATGTTTTTATAGCCAATTATCATGCATAATTTTCATGTTTATATATGAGATTTTTTATTTTCATTGTTTTTTAATGAATTATTCTTACTTTCTTTTCATTATACATAAATCATCCAAATTATAGAAGTACTTTCTCTTTTGATTTTTGACAAACCACCAAAACACTTATTTCATTTAAAACTTTACTTTTTTTTATGACCAATTATCATGCATAAATTTCATGTTTATATATGAGATTTTCTATTTAGCGTTGTCTTTATAACTATTATTTATAGGTTTTTTAGCGAAAATCATATTAACCAACCAGTTAGACGGGTCATTCTTCATTTATTTTAGTTTTCACCAACATAAGATTTTTTTTTCCAAACATACATTTTTGTTTTTTTCCAAACATCTGGCCGTTTTTGAAAATGGTTCGATTGTTCGATTTTTTGGATTTTTTATTTTGTTTTGTCATTGGTTTTTTTTAACTCATGTCCTTCAAATACAATCCATTTTTTTCTATATATATCAGTGTTGCAGAAATCGGCCTTGGCGGCCGATTAATCGGCGATTAATCGTTTGGCGGCCTCGAACCGATTACGATTAGGGTGCTTGGCGGAAATTGGTCAAAATCGGTCAAACTCGGGCTTGGCGGTCATAGGCGGGAAATACTTAAAAAATTCAAAAAAAAAATAATTTTCTAATATTACACCAAAATTTTAAATTTTAAAATTTCCAAATACTTAATTTTTTAAGAAATATTGATTTTTTAAATAATTTTATTAATAATTTAGGGTCCCCGATTAATCCCCGCCGAGTCTGATTAATCGCTTATCGTCAGTCGACCGCCGAGCTACCGCCGAACGATTTTTACAACCATGATATATATATATATATATATATATATATATATATATATATATATATATATATATATATATATAATTTAAGAACAAGTCCTCTGGTACTCGTATTATCGTTTTTTATTACTAAATATTGAGGGGCCACATTTTTTGGTTTTGCCCCGGGCCTCAAATCGTCTTGGGACGGCCCTGATGAACGGTATCCGGAGGGTCACTCTTATACTTCTTATTAAATAAACCTCCACACACAATTGAGTCGTGACTTATGCGGTTAATCACTGGTTGTGGAGGTTGAAGATGTACTGGGGGAAGGGAAGCTGTCGGATCCAACGTGAGAAGAACCGCCCAGAGTAACTGTAAATAATGGAGTTTAAGTGGCTGAGATCTAAAGTCACGGGAGTTTGAACGGCTATGATTTGGACGGCGGTTTCCACTCACCGTCGTCCATAGTATTAATAATACCTACAGATAAGTACCAAAATGGTCCATGTACGGAGGAGTTGTACTCCACACCTATTCGCAATGTCTATAAACTCTTGATATTCAAGATCATTAGAAATCAATGTTAAACCTCCTGGGATTTTGATGAGTTACAGAACCCACAAATGATTATGAAAGTATAATGTTATAAGTGAAGGTAAAATGCTATTCTTAGTTAGATATTCAAACTACAACATCTAAACTTAAATTACAAAGTCTTAATAGGAAAAAAAGAGTGGGGAGTATATGTTATAATTAGTAACCAAAACCAAACAAGTTTGCTCTGTTTTAATAAGAAAAATAATAAAAGTAAAATGTTCTAGTAGGTAGGATTTTCAAACTATAATGCCTTATGGGAAATCAAAATTACAATGTCTTAATAGGAAAAAATAATGGAAAGTGTGATGGCTATAACCGGTAACCGAAATCAAACAAGTTTCAAATTCCAAAGTACAATTTTTTAATAGGTAAAAAAACTTCACCTGCTCTTTATAAGAAAAAAAAAGAAGAAGAAGATAAAAAGTAGAATTTCTGAATGAGATTTTATATTATTAAGTAATCAGCAAAGTATAGATTGGCTTCTTACCTTGGCAATGGCATCGTATAATATAATGGTGAGTAATTTAGCTTTTCTCTAGATTAGTAGGTGCTCTCAACTTCTCCAATTAGTTATTCTATCAAATAGCCACAAACAAAGGAATTGTTAGATGATGATAATAACTGAAGAAGGTAGAAATACATAAATGTGGCAGATCATAATGTGAGCCTCTAATAACAACCCATGGTGATGATGATGGCAATGTTGTTGTTAGCCAATATTCCAATAAGATAAAATCGAGTAAACAAAAATGGTAAACCTAACACATTCATGCCATGACTAGATCAAAGATTTTGACCAAAGCTATTTTATTAGTAAATGCAAAGTAATGGAAGAGAAATAAGAAACGTAATAAACATTAGGGCAGATTTAATAAAAAATAATGTATCACATACACAAAAATAGATTTCACATTCAGAAACAAAACCATCTAAACACACTCAGAAACCTGGTCATTATCACAATGGACAAACACAACACCTACATATCTTCTATCCCTGTAAGAAAGTAAATGCTAGACAACTTTTTAATATATATATATATATATATATATATATATATATATTTAACAAACATGTTAAAAGTTATAGCATTGATTTATGTAAATGTGTAGTCCTGCTAGAGACCACACTTGACAACCTAACTAAGGAATATTCAGAATGCATAAATAAATTAACATCTTCCTATATGATACCCATAAAGCTTCAATTCCATCATTAAATAAGACATCACACACAAATAGAATAAGCAATTTCATTCCCATTTCTATTTCTATTTCATGTGTCATTGTGTTGAGAGAGAGAGATATCAAGAATTACCTTCATACCACCCAGGCCATGTGAGAACCAATCAAACTGACTATAACTAGAACCCCTGAAATTTTAAAATCAGAATATTAAAAGTCCATAAATTCTACCTTCTTCTTTTTCTATGAAGAATCTGGAGCTCAACAACTACTCCCACAGACAACAATCCCAAGGTTAAGTGAAGATTAATTATTAGTTGTTCATTAAAAATTAACTTAACACAACATTCCAACCACTAAACAAATTTTTAGATAGATGCAATCTTTTCCATAACCTCTATCATATGCTAATCTCACTCTATCAATTAAAACTTCCAATTCAAAGTAGAAATTAATAATAGAAATCATTAAAAAAAATTAAGAGTCGAGTAGTAGAAGTAATGAGTAAATATTCAATTGAAGGTTGAATGACCAAGAAGAAACAAAAGTTGCTTCCAGATATCCTCCTATTCAAGGTAAAGGAAGACAGAAGAAAATTAGTCAAACATTTTCATTTTTATCATTGTAGAAGTAAACTCAGCTCTGAGAACAATATTATGAGAAAAGAATACCTTAAAATGGCATAAATTTCTCCAAGACAAAGTTGCTTGAGACTTCAAATGCTAATATAAAAAAATGTAACACTTTCCTTTTGATATCTTTGTATCTGTATGTGTTTATGTTGTTGTTTATACTATATAAAAAGATAGCCCCATTCTCACCTTTCATTGTGATGCACACCAGCCCTTCAATACCATAACTACATAGCAAAAACCAGATCAATCAATCAATCAGTAAAGTAAAAATCCCTCATTTATTCATTTGAACTGAAAAGTAAATGTATACCACCATATCACATCATCATATTATATAATAATATCAATGTACTTATGATTCCAAACAAAACTCTATGAAACTTGCTTGAAAACAGTCTTGAGATGATCAAACAGGGGTAGATTGAGAGAAATAGCAATGTACTTTACACTTAAAATAAAGTGAAATACTAAACGATAAATTTATATCGAATGAATAAGAATTTACACTTAAAATAAAGTGAAATACTAAACGATACATTTATAGATGGGAAAGAATGATGAATGTAAGGCTTAAAGATTTAAATCGAATGAATAAGAATTTAGACAAAGACAAAGAAAATTATCAAAATGTATGTTAAACTGATCTTGCTTAAATGGTTAAAATGCCTTATTTAGCAACTATTTTGGATAAATACTCATCTGCCCATTACTATATGTTATAGTTATTAAACTTAAATACAATAAAATTGATACGGACCCATCCCATACTAGGCCCGCATCATGCCATAAGCCCAAGTGTAGAACTCACTCCCAAAAGCCAGCTTGTAGGAGGAGGGGACACCTAGACTTATAAGCCACCAACTTATAGTACTTTCGGCCGATGTGAGATCATAACAAAAAGCATCAAGAAAGGGCCATAACAACCACTAAATTCATGGGCATTGTTGTATATCTAAAAAACCAAAAACTGCAAGTGCAGTTTTTCTTTTTTTAATTTTTAGTCCCTATTTTACTTATAAATCAACCTTACAAATTTTATACTACAAATTGCAATGGTTGGGGGTTGGGACTTACTTCTTGAATTTGTGATTGAAGTACAACAATATGATTTCTTTTGGCATCATTCAATCTTTGCATTAATGTTATTGGAATGTAAATATTGTACATATGCATTAACCTAGTTTTAGCCCATGGGCCCGTAGGGTTTCATATGTCTAGGGATCCTGCCTCTTTATATACCCTGACATCTTCTTGTAATAAGTGTACAATTAACAAGGTTATTTTTACCCTAAATCTATTTTCTAGTTTACATGGTATCAGAGAGAGGTTTAGGGTTGGAGGGTTTTTTGCATTGAGAGATTACTGTTCACGAAGTACTGTTCATCGAGCACAATTCTGGTACTGTTCATCGGTACTGTTCATCAGTGTTCCAGCACCTTGTGAGTGCACCGTTTTCTGATTAGGGCATCCTGTGAGTGCCGTTCTCTTTTCTTATTTGTTTCTAGTTCGTAAAGATGTCCGGAGGAGACAAATCATCTAGCAGCAGTGGTCCACGAGTACGTGAGTTGCTTCCGGTAATTGCTAGACTCACCGACAACAAACTTAATGGCTCCAATTTCTTTGAGTGGAACAAAACTATTCGGATCTACCTCCGAAGCATGGGAATGGCTTCTCATCTCACATCTGATCCCCCCAAAGGTGATGGTTCTGATTTGTGGCTACAAAGTGATGCTCGTTTGTATTTGCAGATTGTCAATACTATCGAGCCTTCTGTCTCTTCTCTGGTTAGTCACTGTGAATATGTGAAAGAACTTATGAACTATCTTAACTTCTTATATTCTGGACAAAGCAACATCTCACGAATCTATAGTGTTTGTAAGTCCTTTCATCGTGAGGAACAACAAGATCTATCACTCACCACTTATGTCATGGAATTTAAGAAAGTATATAAGGAGCTCAACTCCCTTCTTCCCTTGAGTGCTGATGTCCAAGCTATGCAGACTCAGAGAGAACAAGTGGCTGTAATCAGTTTCTTGACTGGTTTGCGACCAGAATTCGACTCTATCAGATCTCAGTTTTTGAATGAATCCGCCATTCCTTCCCTTCAAGAAACATTTGCTCGTGTTCTTCGAAATGAGAATATTCAGTCTCCACAACCTTCTGATCATAATAGTGCTTTGGTTAGTCGAGGAGGATTTCATGGTGGCTCCCGAGGAGGATCTCGTGGGGGTCACAGAGGGGGTTCTAGAGGTGGTCATAGTGACCGAACTACAGAATCACGGGTTGCTATCTCAACTTCTGATGACATTGAGTGTTATTATTGTCATGATTTTGGTCACACCAAACGCACTTGTAAGAAGCTCTTGTCTAGAAATCAGAAAAGCTCATCAGCACATGTTGCTTCTGCATCAGACAACACTATTACCATACCCGCAGAAGAATATGCACGCCTTTTAAAGATTGAGAACTCCACTGGTCCAACTGCTGCATTTGCTGAAAAAGGTAACCCTAATACATGCCTATTATCTTCTGCCTCAAAATGGGTAATCGATTCAGGTGCCTCAGATCACATGACAGGTAATCCCACCCTCTTCTCTAGTCTTGATAAACACACATCTTCATCTCATGTCACGATCGCTGATGGGTCTACCCCACATGTTCTTGGTTCTGGCACTATTGAACTTACGCCATCTGTTTCCCTATCCTCTGTATTGAGTCTACCAAATTTCTCGTTCAATCTGTTATCAGTTAGCAAAATTACCCATGCCTTAAAGTGTTGTGTCTCATTCTTTCCTGATTATTGTGTCTTTCAGGATCTGTCGACGAAGAAGATTATTGGTAGAGGACGGGAATCTGATGGCCTATACATATTCGAACATCCAACACCTTACTCTTTGGCGTCATCCACTTCATCCCCATTTGAAGTTCATTGTCGATTAGGTCATCCGTCTCTGCAGAATCTAAAGAAGTTGTGTCCTGAGTTTTCTTATTTAACGTCTTTACAGTGTGAGTCTTGTCAGTTTGCTAAACACCAACATATTCATTAAAGTCCAAAAGTCAATAAGCGGGTTTCATCCCCATTTGAGTTAGTCCATTCTGATGTTTGGGGACCATGCCCTGTTACTTCAAAACTTGGGTTTAAATATTTTGTTACGTTTGTTGATGATTATTCACATACTACCTGGCTTTATTTTATGAAAAATCGATCTGAAGTGTTTACACATTTTTGTTCATTCTATGCTGAGATTAAAACACAATTTAAAACCGCCATCCAAACCCTTCGTAGTGATAACGCAAAAGAATATTTGTCTCAAACATTTCAGTCTTACATGCTTCAAAATGGTATTCTTCATGAGTCTTCCTGTGTTGACACACCAGCCCAAAATGGGGTCGCAGAACGGAAAAATCGTCATCTTTTAGAGGTGGCTCGGGCTCTTCTATTTCACATGTCTGTTCCTAAAACTTATTGGGCTGATGCGCTTTCTACTGCTTGTTTTCTCATTAATAGAATGTCTTCTGTTGTCTTGGATGGTATGAGTCCACTCTCGGTTCTATTTCCTACAAAGTCATTGTTTCCTGTCGAACCAAAGATCTTTGGGAGTACGTGTTTTGTTCGTGATACCCGACCACACCTAACCAAGTTGGATCCGAAGTCCTTGAAATGTGTCTTCCTTGGTTACTC